CATTAGGGTTCCACAAGTTTTCCAAAAACAAACAAGTCTAAGTTTTGGAAAAAGGTTTAAACAAGTTTCCACATAAAGGTCCATAAAAGCCTTATTCATTCAGACGAAAGCAATAAATGCATAAATAAATGACCGACCCACTCGTCCCTTCTCGTCACCCAACTCCTGCTTAACCTGCATCGGTGAAGAGCATGTAGGGATGAGCACAAGATGAAAAGCGTGCTCACCACTATACACATATATCACAACATAAATAATGAAGAGAAGGTGTGGTTAGAGTATGAACATAAAACAATTATTTTGTCACGTCTCTTAATCACATCACAACATAATACCCACGTGTACACATCTTTCATTAGCCAAGGAAAGGGGATTCATTACCCTAACTCATGGGGGTACGTGCCATACGACAAGGCACGACCTTTCATTAGGTCTTACGGAGACTTACCTCGTAAGGTAACCGTATTACATCGACGGGGACAACCATAATGACGGCCGAATTGGCTCACGCTGATAGGCTACATGGTTTACGTACATACTAAAATCATACCAAATCAACATTATAATAAACACATACAACATAGCAAATTTTAGATTAAAACCCACCTGGTACAACAAAGGAATAAGGCACACAATCGGGAGTAGGCAGCGAACACGGCTCGTCAAACACCTACAACAATTTTATGCTAAGATCAACACCTATTTGACCTTAGAGAACAATCACAAGCATACATTGGTCGAACTTGATTCAACCAAGTAGTTCGTGATGTTCCGTGGACATTTGGAACACTTGGATCCTACACTTAGACTTGACCAAGATGCATATAAACACCACACATAGACTTAGCACGCAAAACAAAGTCAAACAGGTCAAAGGCACACACAAGGGTTCGGGAAAAATATAAAGAAGGCTTGGGTCGGGCCCCAGGCTGCTCGCTGGCACGGCCGTGGTATGGCTGGGTGCTATTGGGACACGTACGGGTGCTGTCGGGCTGGCCGGGGGCGCTGGGGCACTGGGGCGCTGGCGTGCGTGCTGGGCGCTGGCGGCAGTGCTCAAGGCCCGGAAGACAGGCAGGATTTCAAATAGGACCGACCGATTTTAAAAGTACTCGACCAATTTATTTGAAATTTTTACACATAATAATAGACCCAGAAAGGCATATTTCCAAAAGTATCAGACTCAAAACCTCAGTTTAACTTGAGCAACCAATTTTTACAAAACGACGATGCAAATCTAAATTTTCTAGTTCTCCGGGCAATCCTTTGAATTTTTCAACGAAATTTGAACACAACTCATATAACATCAGATTACTAACACTCATAAAAAATCATAGCAAAACACCAAGAATCCGATTTTTAATGATTTTTCAAAGTTTCTGCCTAGTATTTCAAATCGACAATTGACAAGGCTACAGATACTATTTCGACTTGAAATGTTTACACCATATATAATACCAACAGAGGGACATACAGTTCAATTTTCAGAGTAATCGGACCAACACACAATTTATGATGATTTTTCAAAGGATCAACAGTAATACCCAATTCAAAAATTCATAAAATACCAATTACTCAACAACAACATCTAAGGCCTTCACCATGAGGCCAAAGACTTTAAATGTTCCATAGTCCACAGCCCTAACACGATTTTAACGAGCGTTCATCAAGAACACACTAATATCCCTTCAAACATGCATAATTTTCACATTATTTAAACATTCCAAGGCAAATTCGATTTAAACCAAGATGAAACAACTCAAAACATATTAAAATGAGAAGGTACAGCCATCAAGTACCGTTCTCGTGGTCCTTGCACAAAAAAGCACAAGGGAAAGGGTTTCGAAGGCTCGAAAGAACGCGCGGGGGCGGCTCGGCGGTGGGCTCGGCTCGCTGGAGATGGGATTGTTGGGTTCTGTTAGGAACATCAAACAACATGCACAACATTTAACTTTATCGAAATAAATCCTAACGCAGCGGAATCTATAGTTAGGATATGGACGTTTACCTTTTAAAATTTTTGCCGACTCTGAGACGATGTAGAGTACCGTTGGTGAAGTTCGTCTGAACAACACAACCTAAAGGGCAGATAGGTTTGGCCTTTAGTTGATTCTAATCAACACGTCAAACAGATCACGAACGGACGGTGTGCGGGTCTCGATCGTCGGGTGCAGCGAGAAGCACGTGCGCGTCGGGCGCGGACAACGTTGGCAGGTACGCGGGTCGCAGCGGACGTGTACTGGTAGCTTGCGTGTCGCGGGCGTGCGCTGGCGAGACTCCTAGGCGGTCACGGACTGGCGCTGGACGCGTGCGTGCATGCTGGGCAACACTCCTATGCGGACGCGGACTGGGTGCTGGGCGACTGGGATCACGCGTGCGCGCTGGGCAATACTCCTGGGCGCACAAGGAACAACGTGCACGTATCAGGCAGACGCTGGTAACTCGCGCGCAGGGCGACTGGCAGCGGATGCAATCGGCGAGCAGGCAGGCGGTGCTGGGGCTCGCGGACGGTTGTTGGGCGTCGCTGCTGGGAGCTGGGACGGCGACTGGCTGGGCGC